TACTACTACTACTACTACTACTACTAACGACTAACTACGAACTACGAACTACGAACTACTAACTACGAACTACTAACTACTACTAGCTACTAACTACTAACTACTACTACTACTACTACTACTACTACTACTACTACTACTACTACTACTACTACTACTACTACTACTACTACTACTACTACTACTACTACTACTACTACTACTACTACTACTACTACTACTACTACTACTACTACTACTACTACTACTACTACTACTACTACTACTACTACTACTACTACTACTACTACTACTACTACTACTACTACTACTACTACTACTACTACTACTACTACTACTACTACTACTACTACTACTACTACTACTACTACTACTACTACTACTACTACTACTACTACTACTACTACTACTACTACTACTACTACTGCTAATAATAGTAATAATAATCATAATTCTACTACGACTAATTCTACCACCACCATTACTACTAGGGTGGCTGGTAAACAAACTGAGAAGAACTAGTGGGAAAAACAATCGTACTCCCCGTCAACCCTACGCACAGTCGACGCTCTCACGGTGGCCCCTGGGAATTTCGGCACACACACACACCCCACATGCGTCGTGGCCCCATGTGGAGCGCCAGCGAAGCCCCGATTGGCTGCGATTGCATGCGCCCCCGCCCCGTTTTGGCGCGCAGTGTGCACGCTTCGTGGCCCCATCAAGAGGTCCACCAAAGGCGATACCCAGAATAGCGATACTCACAATTCCATACGGTTGGGCCCTTCGCCAGAATAATGCCGTCGCGGCGCGGCTGACGCGATCCGCTCGCTCTAGTAGCCGGGGCGAGGCGTACTACTGTCCGGCTGTAAGAAGAAGAAACAAGGCGGAGGGTGGCCGCGGAGCAGGAGGGGAGGGCACCCACAGCACGAAGATCTGGCATGAGTTGACCGGCGCGGCCGGCCGTTGCTGAGGCGCCCTGGCAGCGGACGTGGAGCGGCGTCGCGCGCACACCCAGGGGCTGAGGCAAAGGCTGCAGGCGCTGGATGCGTAGAACAAGTCAACCTGTGCAGGGTGGAATGGCGAGCGAGTGAGGAAAACAGCCAAGTTATCGTCAAATGACCACGCTGCCAGGTACTCCAGCGCACAACGGCTGCGTGGTGCAAGGAAGCTAGGACCGAGGGGTTGGCCAGCGAATCGCTCGCGGCAGCAAAATGCTGCGAGCCTCCGAGCTGAGCTGCTGAGGCTGAGCTGCAAGGCAACAGCAGGTCGATGGCCGCGGCGCCACGGAGGGCAGCAGCCGAGGGCTGCAGAGGACGCCAACTGCAGAGGTGGCGTGGGCGGCAAGGAGCCACCGAACGCCGCCTCGGGCCTGGCAGCGGCGACCAGGGCGGGAGGCAGGAGGACGGGGGGCGGCCCCGGCCGGCGCAAGCATCACAGCCAGGAGTGGCGGTAGCGCCCAGCCACAAGTCTGATGGAGCGATGGCGCGCAGCTGCGGGAGCAGGATGGGCAGGGGCGCAGAGCGGCGGCCGGCCGGCCAGTGCGATTACAGTCACAGGCAGCGTCCAGATACTGTAACGAGCATCATGACATCTAGACCTTGTTGGTTCGACTCCTGAATCACATCGATGAGACCACCATCCCCCAAAGCGATTTCTTCCACCTCCTCATCCCACTCCAACCTCTTTCCTATAGAAGGAGGAAGGTTGTATCAGTCGAATGAGGGGGATCTTCTGCCCCCATCAAAACGTTCCATGTTATCCTGCTTCTGGCTTCTTGCTTTGGGTGCAAGATGAGCCGGCATAGCGGGGGCGATGTGGACAACCGCGCTCTTATCAGAGTGCGACACTCCCCCGGCTGGTGCCCAGACTCTTCCTCCCGTCTACGCCTACGCCCTCCTTTCTTGGTCCCCGACGCGCCCAGTCCCCGTGGCTCCGTGTCCAAGAAAAAGCACGTGAGGACGCTGTCCCACTCCCTCACCTGCGGCTGGTAGACCTCTGCAGGCTCTGGCGGGGCCATCACAGCATCGGATGCTGCCAGAGGTGGCCAAGACCCCGAGATGTCTCCAGCTTTCCAGGGAGGCCTAGATGGCCTCCAAGTGAACTACGTGACCCACACAAGGCCCACAGGGCCCCAGGGGCTCCCAAGTGTCGCGCAAACCTTGGGGCACCTTGGGCCAGGACCACCTCTGGCCTTCGGCAATCCCAACAGGAGAGCGACGGCAGGGAGGGAAGCGAGTGGGAGGGGGGCCTTAAGAGGCGCACGGGGGAGAATGGGCGGGAGGCCAGGGAGCGAGAGTTGGACGGAAAGCGAGATACTGGTTGGGGACGGGCCAAACGCCAGGTGATCCAGGATCTCTGCCAAAATCAGTGGCTCCAGAGCCCTACTCGTCGATGCATGACGACGAATCTCTGGCTGACTCCTCGCCTCGAGCCTCCACCTGGGCACGGAGAACGAGATGGGGAGCGGGAGGGGGAGAGGGAGGAGGACGGGGGAGGGGGGAGGGGCAGGCGAGGGGGAGGAGAGCACCCAGAAGCGTCCTGGGATGCACTCTGGCTAAGATTCTGAAGGGAACCCTACGAAAGCTCCGCGGAGGCCCAAAGAGAGACGGAAAGTCAACGAACAACTACCATCGAACCAGGATTTCCCCATGCCGACGTAAGTGTTGCAATTGCGTGGGCTGGGCTTTTACGTACGCTTTCCATGCGAGCGCTCCTCGCAAAACTGAATGACCTCCCAGGGAAACAAGTCACACCAGGAAGCCATCGCAGGCGTCAGCATCTTCATGCACTCCTCGCATTGGCGTCGCACATCCCGCTCCGGCATGGGCATGAGGTTTGGCATGACGGAAACGGGCCCTGAGGGAGACGGGCCCTGAACCCCGAGGCCTCCCACCTCTCCCAGGACCAGATCTTTCGCCCCCAACCCGTTTCTGCACGGCTCCCGGGCCCTGGGGGCCGCAAAGGGCCAAAACATCTCGGGACACCGTTTCCCTCAGAACCCCGGGTCGAGAGGGCAACCGCGCCAGCACGCACACCAGGACAACACCCTGCACACCAAGCGCAGGCAGCCAAGCCTCGCGCCACCGCGCCTGGAAAAAGGGCAGCTCTCCGGCCCAGGCCGCGACGAGCGAAGCGCGATCGCCATCGCGCCCCTGGGGACAGGAGCAGCCAGCATCGAATCGGGAGATCGGGCAGCGAATCGGAACGCGAGTCGGACTGGGTCGCATCGGCACGGAGCCTGGAGCGGGTGGAACCAGCTGCGCCAGGATGCACAGCAGCGGCGCCACACAAGCATCAGGCCGCAGCAGATCGTCGGGCTATCGGAATGGAATCGGTCGAGTCGGATCGAGCGAGCGGGCGAGGTCTGGCGTGCGGATGTCCGCGTGGAAAATACAAGGCGCCATACTGCCTCAAAAAACCTGCCGTCCGCTCAGCCTGTCCACCGCTTGAAGGGTCGTCCTTGCGACTGGACTCCACTGGACTGCCACTGAAGGACTTTGCTTGACCACCTTCCATCTGTAGAAGTATCTATCCTCGCCACCACCACCTTGCGGCATTGCTGCAGTCGACTCGGACCGATCGGATCGAAACGGACCTTCCTTTGTGGTCAGGCCCCGCCTTCGCGGCCCCGAGGCCGCCGACGCGAAGGGGGCACGTCGGCGCCGCGCGGGCATGCGCCGACCGAGCGATGGGCCAGGACCGCACGCCGCAGCCGGCGATCGCTGGGAGGGTGCGGCCTCCAGGGTTGCGGAAGGTGTCCCTGATCCAAGGTGTCCCCAGCTTTTCGCTCCATTTTGGCGCCCCTGGGGGCCCTGTGGGGCTCCGTGGGCCTCGTGAGGGGTGTTCTGGCGGCCATGGGAGCTTCCCTGGAAGTCCTAGGGGCACCTTGGGCCAGGGACATCTGTGGCAACACCCGTCTCTCAGCCATCGTTCTCCGATTCGTGGGCGTGCAGCGTGGGTAAGCGCGTACGCAGGTTCATGTCGTGACGACCCCTGCATTGGCTTCTGACGCCGCGCGGACCTTTCAACCTTCAACGATCGGCGACTCTTCGATCGCCAAATCGTTCCGTACTGGACGATTCTGGGCCACCGGCAGCGTTCAACCTTGAACGAAGGCGGCGGGGTCGCTGCCGCGTCGACACGACACGAATCTATCGTTCCGTGCCCTTCGGCAGGCTCTCGGGACCTTTCGCATGTTTCCCGTGTCTCAGTTTTCTCGCTTCGGGATGCCTTCCTGAAGCTGCGCGTCGTCGAGAGCGTTCCGGGAAGCCCGGATCGCCCCGAACGGCCGCCGGAAGCCCGAGTCGACTCGAAAACCTGGAGGGGGGGACAGGAACCCCCAAGGGTTCCCTTCTAATCCCGTTCGGCGCCTGAGCCCATCCAGCCGCCGCTGGACTCAAAGGGCGAGCTCGCTCGGCCGCCGAACGGGCTCAATTCCCACGAGACTGTCGGAATCGAGCCCGCTCGGCTGCCCCTTCGGCGGCCGCACGGCATCAGACGCGCAACGGGCTCGGGAGGGAGCCCTGGGGTGGGCGGCCGGCTCCTGTCGTGGTGACCGGCGCTTTGGATTTTCTGACGCCGCGTGCATCCGTTCAGCCTTGAACGACCGCGGCTCTCTGACAGCGCAGGTCGTTCGATGACGGCCTCTTCCGGGCTACTGGTGGCGCTCAACCTGTTGAGCAGGGGCCGACCGTTTCGGCATTCCGACAGGCCTGCCGCGAGATGCTCGTACGAAAAAGAACGCCATAATAACACATACGTGTTCCTTAGAGCATGACACCGATGCATGAAAACCAGACTGTGTCCGCCAGAAATGTTAGAAGAACATTTCGTGCAAACCGCAAAAAGTTCCAAAGACATTCGATGGTGGGCCTAGGGGCAAGTCAGGCCGGAACTCCCTTCAGGCCTGGTCCAACGCGGTCTGGTGCATAGCCTTTCGGCCCTGAGAACCAACAAACAATGTGCACCGTACCGTTCCTGGGTCGAGCATCGACGACGCCTCGGGAGACGCAAGCGCTGTACGGTGCACATAAATCGTGCGCGGATAATACCATGAACTTGCAATTCTCCGCGGGGGGTCTTGGATCGTCGCTGAATCCCATCACCAGCGCGCTATGCGCGCCAGTGGGGGCCCAACGCCGACCGAAGAAGTCCATGCGGTCCTCAGAAAGTGTAGGTTCAGGCGGAGGTGTCCTCGTCGAGTGCAGGGCGGCCGGGCACCCTGGGAAGCAGTGCATACATAGGGAGTGCTACCGCCACTCCCTGTGAACCCACGTGGCCACACGACAGAGGGGACATGGTGGCGTTCGTGGCCGGGCTTGACTGCCTCAATCGTGCTGACTGTACCGATGCTCACGCCGCACTCGTCGATCAATGCAGTGCCGACCTCAACAGCGCCCCAGCAATGCCGGCTTCGGGCAGTCTGTGCTGCGCGGCGACGGAGAGGGAGAAAGGGAACGAGAAGCAAGCGGACGGCAGCAAACGCGCAGGTGGGAGGCCAGGGCCGGCGGGTCGAAGCAGGCGGGCAGGCTGGCAAGGGATTGAAGAGAGGCAACCAGCAGTACGCAGACTCCAACATCGCCATCCGCCAACGGCTTCCACGCCGGGGCGGGGCTCAGTCATGCTTACTGTACCGATGCTCGGGCTCCCACATCGACATCCACCGACCGGGGGGGGGGGCCTCGACGAACTCGCCCGCGGACATGGAGAAGTCCTGCGGCCTGCTCATGATCTGGCGCGGGGCCCGCGCGGGCGGGGGACACAAGGCGGAGCAGAGAGTGCGGATCGGCAGCAGGTCCGAGGGCTCGGGTATGCCAGCAAGAAGAGGGCGGGCGGCAGAGAGGGGGCCCACGATGGGGGGAAGGGCCAGTCGAGACAAGGGCGGCCCCTTTTCGTCCCGTCGAGGACTCCTGGAAGCTTGTCAGCACCACGGATCCGCCTCGAAATACGGGCAAGGATGGAGTCTGGGGATCGATGTTGACCAGATTTCGGCCGGGCGGGAGAGCCACCGTTGTCCCAGCTGTCCCCCGTCGACTCGAGCGACGAAGGGGGAGACGAGGGCGAAGAGGGAGAGGGTGGATGGGAACGACAAGCTAGTTGGGTGCACTCTATCCACATCTGACACCCTACCCCTCACGCCCATCACTTCCCATTGCGTTGAGTCATGTTCATTCAGCCGTCGAATGCGAGAAAGAGGGCATTGATGTGTCCGTTGCAAGATTTGACCCATCGTCTGCTGCGCAATCGAAATGGGGGTGTACATAGGAGGAGGGGGAGGAGGAGGAGGAGGACCAGTGTAAGTCCAAAACGCACCAGCGATGCAATGCATCATCCCTACCAATTCCCTCTTCATAGGATCCGGCAAGAAAATATCGCCATTGCGGGAAGTGCCCCATTGGAAGACAACCGACTGAGAACCTTCAATCGTGCCAAAAAACCATTCCTGGGACTTCAACGCCGCAAATCATCGTGACTGTTGATGCGTGACATTCCTGAATCGCGCAAGATCACCATTTCTGGGTCTTCCAGACCGCGAATCAAGGTGACTGTCGCGTCCTGGCAAACCTGAATAATGCCAGAACACTACTCCTGCGACTTCAGCCATGAAGAAGCCCTACAACTGCCGTAAACATTTGAAACAAATGTGCGCGGCGCTGAGGCGGGAGCCACAGTGTGAAAACGGCCCACCCTCGATTGATGAAACTGCTGCAAGCTTCTAGAACGAATGTGCGCGGCGCTGTGGCGAGAGCCACATTCTGCAACGACCCGCCCGCCATCTTTACAACTGTTGCAAACTTTACGACGAATGTGCGCGGCGCTTAGGCGAGAGCCAAATGTTGAAAACGACCCGCCCTCCATGTTTGAAACTGTTGCAAATTTCAAGTTTGGGGATCATGAGTGCTGAGGAAGTCTCAAGAAAAACGCCATGCCCGCCCTACCGACACGTCTGGGATGAGGCAAGGAATTCGTCTTATAAAGAAGAGGGAAGGAGCAGAAGCGGCAGCAGGCGGAACGCGAGCAGGGGAGAAGGGGGTCGGGAAGTGCTCGTTTCGAGTACGCTGGGCCTCCAGATCCCTGGCAAGTTGAGGTGGCGGCGGCGGCGACGGCGCACAGGGATGGAGGCGAAACAGGAGGAGCACGACGGCGACATGCGATGAAGAGGAGGAGCTGGAGGGGAAGGAGGAGCGGGGAGGTCGGGGGGGAGAGGGGGATGATCACTTCAGAGTGGTCTGGCCCCTCTTAGCCTCATCCCCTAACGAGGAGGAGAATGAGATGAGGATGAAAAGGAGGGAGGAGCAAAGAGGAGGAGGATAAACGAGGAAGCAAGAGGAAGAGCCGCAGGAGGACGCGGAAGGGAACGGGGAAGTGATTCGGCTCGACTAGGCAATGCTCCCACCCTCCTAAGACAAAGGTGGGAAGAGGATAAAACCGGACGAGGAGAAATCGGGAAATCTCTGAGAGCCAGCTGGTCTGGAAGATGTATCCGGCAGCGCGGCCTCTCCCAGAGCGCTCTGGAACACTCTGAGTGGGTTCCGGAACACTCTGGAGCGGTTTCTCCTCGTCCTAGGCCTACCCAACCCAGCTCGGGGAGGAGGATTAGGAAACGAGGAAGAGGAGGAGGAGGAGGAGGAAGAGGAGGAGGAGGGGGGATGAGGAGGGGGGGGAGGGGAAGGAGGAGGAGGAGGAGGAGGAGGAGGAGGAGGAGGAGAGTGACAACGACGAGGACGAGGACGAGGACGAGGAGGACGGCGACGACGACGAGGCCGAGGGCGAAAACGGAAGGCGAGAATGAGGAGGTGAGGCTAGGGGCGCGGCCCGGTCCGGGTTGAGCTCCATGGCGGGGCAAACGTCGGGGATCTGCGCCGGCCGAGCGGAGGCGGAATGTACCGAAGGGGGGAACAGAGAAAGGGGTTGAGAGGAGGGCGAGATTTCTGGGCCTCCAGGAGACTTCTCGTCGCCACGGCTGGATTATCCTAAACGGCTGGTCAGAGCGCACCCCAAGACAGGTCCGGGGGGGATGCTGTGCCCCTGGACACAGACCCACCTTTGATTTGTCAACATCAAAACGGGAGATCGGATCGAAGCGGAAAGTGCGCCGGCACGGAGTCGGAATCGAGACTGATCGGCTGTGCCGAGAAGCGGAGCAGCACCATGCAGGCCACGGGCCGCGTCGGATCATCGGAGATCAGAATCGAATCGGATCGGGCTGGCCAGAATCGGATCGATCGGATCGAAATGGATCCTGGGAAGCGGAGAAACAGCAGAATAAGAAGTGGAGCGGGGCGAGAGGAGGGAAGGGGGGAGGGGGAGGAGGGCGGGGAAGGGAGAAAGGAGCGGAGAGGGGCAGACGAGGGTCAGTCTGGGAGCCTCGAGCTTGCTACACGCAGAGAAAATCATCCATTGTGAAGTCGCTCCGGATCAACGAAGACCTAGACTGGCGCAGACAAACGTCACCACCGTCCCGCTGGCGGGAGACAAACGCACTATCAAGGCAGCCGCTGCGCAGGATCCTTTGAAAGACACGTGTCCGCAGATCGCGATACACGCCACTCGGCTCGCAGCGTCGCTCGAGCGCTTCATCGCGAGACCGTCAGAGATCAAGGTGGAAAGCGACGCATCAGCAGTCAGCGAAACACTTACGGTTACGATCACTGGGCCACTGCGAAGCTGTCTGAACGTAAACAGATTTACAGTGCAAGCCGCAGGCATCCACCTCACATGCGCAGCCACTGGACTCACCGGATGGCCAACATGACTCGGCGAACATCCTATCCTGATTGGAACTAGATCCTTCAGCGTACCACAGCACGGGCGCCGCAACCTCAAATCCTTGTTCACTACAAGGCTCAGACAACCTTCGGAACAGCTGCCAGGGCACCAAGCTCCGAGGGAGCTCCAAACATCAGGGGTCATATTGCATTGAATTGCTGGGCTCAGCCGATAGCAAATCTGATGAGATTGCCAGCCTACGACAGAATCCGCCGACCCCTTCACCGGCACGTGAGATGCTTCCCCCTCCCGAAACCCCTCCCCTGGGAGCCCGGTCCAGTCGATTTGAAGAGGGGGGTGCGGTCCCCCGGGGCCCGGTCGAACGCGCCATGCGGGGACAGAGGGCCCCAGAACGGGCCAAGAGGGCCCCAAGAGGCCACCTGGACGGCCCAAGAAGGCCACGAGTCGCCGAAAGATCTATCCAAAACGCCCACGCTGGCCTCCAGACGGCCAACAGGCCCCCAAAACGCCCCAGGAGAGGCATCCCAAGAGGGCCTCCAGAAGCACAACTTGCCCGATTCTAACACATTTCACCATCGGCACCCCCCTGAGGGGAAAGTGGTGGATTTGTTTCCGGATTTCCAATTTCCTCTGAGCATGTTTTGATGCGATCGCACCGCCTGGTTGCGCGACCTGCCGAGCTGGAGCGTCGACCTAGACAGTGCAATCTCCAAGTGCCGACGGCCCGGAAGCGGCAAATGCCTGGGCGACTGCTCTCGGAGTTGAGTTCGTTTCTCAGATTTCCTGAATTCACCCGCCGCTCGGCCCCCGCCAAGTTCGAACGGCGGGGCTGCCGGGGTCGATTGCACCGCGACGGCAACAGCACTGACCAGCCAAAGCTTCGACGTCATTCGCCGACGCATCATAAGCTGAGCAGGTCAGTGGGGCCGAGTTGCGAAAGAGAAAACTCCGCAGGAATGGCAGACGCCCATGCGACTGCCGACGCGCTCAGGAGCAGTACCAAGCACGGGAGCAACGGAGTGCGGTCGTTTGGGGGTTTGTAAAAACTCTGAGGGCTGCAAAAACACCGACCGCTGCGCGAAGGCCCCGACGCCACCATTTGTAGCAGCAACGCGTCCTTAAGTTTGCGGGCGCGCAGTTCACGGCACGCGCGATGCCAGCGCCAACAACTGCACGCTACCTCCGAGCAAACAGCGCTCGCTGACAACGATCTGGGCCGTCTTGGGCATTCACAACGTCCAAGACCGCCCAAGGGGCCTTCAAGATCGCCCCAAGACAGGCAAACAGGTCCCCAAGAGGGATCCAAGACGACCCAAGAGGGCCCTAAGATGGCCCAAGAAGCCCCCAAGACGGCCCACGAGGGCCTCAGGACAACCCCAAGAGGGGGCCCAGGGGTGAACTCGGACGGACCTTTCGAGCCTTCGACCCCAAAACGCCTCCAGGTTGCCCCAGGAAGCCCCCAAAGAGTCCCCAGGGAGCCCCAAGAGGGCCGCAAAAAGCCCCCAAGAGGCCCGGCGGATGCCCCCAAGAGGTTGAGAAACTGTCTCCAAGACGCACCCGAGACGCCTCCCACGAGACCCCATCAGCCATCCGAGTGGCCTCAGACCCGCAACCCAGGCACGGTGGAGGGATGTGCCCAAGGCCATTCGATCCGCCGCCCCGTGTAGTCTTGCCGCAGGGGTGCCTGGCGTGCTGAACATCTTACGGTTTTGATTTGGATTCTTTTCCAAAAGAACTCCCCCTGGGCCTTCAGCCCAGCGCGCTGGACACGCGGAAGGCCGCGCCGCTGCGCAACCCGCGTCTCGAAAAACAGCCGTTTCGCTCGGGATACCCTCGAAAATCTCGGTATTGGGGATCCCAGCCCAAGACGCCTTATGATAAGAATGAGCGTCTGCCTCCAAGTTCGCCCCAGAAGTCTACAAGACGACCGAAGACGGCCCCAGAGACCTCCAAGACGACCCACGAGACCTCCCAGAGGTCCTCCAGGAAGGCCCGAAGAGGCCAAAATCATTGATTTGCCTTAGGTTGTTTATGGATTGTGGCATTTGCTTCTTTTTGGCCTCCCGACGGCCCGAGGCGGGCCGAGAGCCCCCAAAGATCGCTCCAAGATCGCCCAAGAAGCCTCCAAGATGGCCACAGAACGGCCCAAGAGGCCCCCAAGACGGTCGCAAGACGGCCCATATAGGTCGCCCCAAGATCGCCCAAGAGGCCACCAAGCTGGCAACAGAACTGCCCAAGAGGCCTCCAAGAGGGTCCCAAGACGGCCCAAGAGGGCCCCCAAGACGCCCAAGATGACCTCCAGGACGGCCCTGGAGCACCCCAAGAGGGCCCCAAGTCGGCCCAGAGAGGCCCCCAGGACGGCTTCCGACGGCGTCAGACGGACCAGGAGTGCCCTAAGACGGCCAAAGAGGCCCCCGAGCCAAGAGGCCAGAGGATGCACCCAGGATGACTCCAAATGGCTCCCAGGAAGCTCCCAGGAGGCCCCCAGAGTGTCCCTCGAGGCTCCCAAGATGCCCCCTCCTCCTCCTCCTCCTCCTCCTCCTCCTCCTCCTCCTCCTCCTCCTCCTCCTCCTCCTGATTTTCCCCGCCATCCTCCCCCAGGTGTTCCCCGAAGAGTTTCTACAACGGCGGGGGAAACACATGGTCCGATAGCTTGGCAGAGCTCTTGCCACAACGCTCGCCCACATGGGCGATTCCAAAAGGCGGGGGGGTCGGCGGTGACTCGCAATAGGCGTCTTCGATAATCATCATTCGGGTGTTTTGACAAATGCCAGCCGTCTGTATAATTACGTGGCTTCTCGCCCGTTTCCCCATACGCGCACGGCGAACACTGAGGATGTCGGCCCAAGAGGCCCCCGAAAGGCCCCCAAGAGGCCCCCATGAAGCCCCATCAGAGCTCCAAAGAGCCGCGGAAAAGGCGCCCAAGAGGCCATCAGGAGAAACATACAACAAACCGCCAGTCCCCCAAGGGGTCGGCGGTGTGGCGTAAGCCCAAGAATCCACGTCCGGAAGTGACGTGTTGCCGGAGGAAGGTCCGCGGATGCTGTACTGTAACGTACCCAGTCGATCCACAGATTGCATAAATGCTACATACTGCCTTTTATTACACCAGTATGCCCCCCCTAACCCCCGCGGAGTCGCGCCACATGTCCGTACCAAAGTGGCGGTCCCCTTCTGGAGCCTTGCAAACGTACAACAAATCGATGGAAAATCAATGATTTGGGCCCCTGGGGCTTCTTGGGGGTCCAAGAGTGCGTCAAGACGGCTCAAGATGGCCTCGAGACGGAGGTCAGTGGCAGTGTTCGCATGCTGCCGCACCCAGTTTGGCAAACCCCTCGCACGCTTCGCGGTCCCAAAACGAGCTCCTCCGAAGGCACCAGTGATAAGATTCGCATCCTGCCTTGTCCAGTTCGGCACACCACTCACACGTTTCGTGACCTCATTGGGAGCTCCACCGAAGGCACCAGTAGCAGGGATCGTATGCTGCCGCGCCCATTTCAGCGCAACCCTCACACATTTTGTGGCCCCATAGGGAGCTCCCCCGAGGGCCCCAGTTGCAGGGTTCGGATGGCATTGCCACGCCCATGTCGGCACACCCCTCACACGCTTCGTAGCCACCATTTCTCTACATCACGTCTGAAAAGGCCGACTCGCCTGCTAGTCTTCGTCATCGTCCTTCCCGTCCACGTCAAAATACTCTTGCTCGCCCCCTCCGACTCATCGGTATTGCGCTACCCGCAGCTGCATATGGTTGAGCCCCCAACGACCCTCTGGAGGCTCAAAGGTCTTGCCTTGGTGCCCTCAGAAAACCACGAAAAACTCACCACGAGGCCACCAGCAAGACCGCAAAGAGGCCAAACAGTATAAAAAGCCAAAAGGATCTCACCAGCCTTCTGGGCGAAGCTGGTACCTGTCAGCTCGTCCGTCTCTCTTGTTCCCCTTTCGGAGGAGGGGGAGGGATAAGCAATGAAGGAGAGAAGGAGGGGCCTACATTCAACGAGCAAGCCCCTCTCAAGGTCAGAAATTGAAACATCATTGGTTTCAGCCGAAAGGGAATGATGCTAGCACCCCTCCATGACAAGGTCGCTCCCGAACACCAAAAACAAATTGGCGACTGGCGAGCACAA